GTTATATAATGGGTAAGAAATGAGATAGTGGTTGGAAGGGGACGCTAAGCGAAAAGGAGGGGGGAAAGGAAACTCATAACACAAACGCTATTGAGTTCGGCTCTTAGCGATGCCCATAAGTGTATCCAGACAAAAGTGCTCATCGTCTTTCAGGCCCCAATAAGGGAGGCGACAGGATCCAACCAAGGACAACTTCGAAATAGTGGCCTTAATACATCTTGATCAATTCATCGTTTGGACTCCCCTCCACTTCTTCTGGCCACATCCTGGGCGCGCAAACAACGCACGTCGCGAGAGTCGGTGTGCTGGCATGTGCAACGCATGGCCCAGCCATCTGATCTTGGTTCGAGAAGTAAAGATAGTTCTTTTTCTTGTGCCATAGACAAGGCGTCGAACACGTACATCGCTCGCCTGGTGTTCCCACCAGATATGAGCCAAACTGTGAAAGTACCAGTGGTTGAACGCAGATAGCCTCTTTACGTCTACCGATCTAATGGACAAGGTTTCACAACGTACGGCTGCATTGTACACCCTAGCCTTCAAGGAGAGAGTGATGTCGCGCCGATGCCATAGGTGGCAGTTAGCAAAAGTACCTCGAACTTTTGCTTTACGGATCGTGACCTCGTCTCTGATTCCACAGGTGCCGATATACAACGGCATAGGTAGTTAAATTTCTAAACAACTTCTAGCTGATCCCCACCAAGAGTCAGTGCAAGAAGCGGTCCCTGCCAAACTTGGTGGAAAACTTTACAGTTTGAGGGTGCAAAACAAAGTCCGAAGCGGCTGACAACCAGTGCTAATCTGTCCAGTGCTGCTTGTCACGTTTGTGAGCTGTCACGAATGAGGAAAATGTCGTTAGCGTACTCTACTGCTAGCGCATTAAGGTCCGAGAATAACGTTTATGGTTAGGAATATATTTTGAGCGTCGAAAAACCATCTGGATCAATTTGGTTAATGTCCGCTGAAAGGGAGAAGACGTCGGAGTTCATCACTCCCGTCGCAACGAGACTGGACCTTAACGTGGTGCGACGGTTTGCGTACCTCATTGACCCATTGAGCTATACTGGGTGATGCCTCCGGGCACCTTGAGAGCTACTCCTACCAGGTTGGTCAATGGTGAGAGGTCAGACAAACTCAGTCTCCTGGTCCTCCAGATTGGGGGTTTGAAATGGGATGGCATCCATTTCTGTAAAACTAAATCATTGCCACCCCGCTGCCTTGCGGACAGGCTTTTGAGCCAAAGGCTTTGGATGAGGACCCTAATCGTCCTCCTGTCTAGGTCTGGGCGCCCTGGCAGTATCTCAGCCCACATACAACCATGACATTTTCTTCAAACATAAACTTCATCCTGCATCGGCCGTCGCGCAGATTATCAAGGGTCGCCTTATCTGCTGCATACAGCAGGGCGGATAAGCGAAAACATGCTACTGCTGGCGCCTCCCTTCTTGCTTTTCCACCTTTTTCTCTTACTCCCATCCCGCCCCCCATTACTAACCTTCCTTCTATAATTCCCAGCTTAATTAACAGCAACCGAAGTGCTACTGGAGTAGAACCATCTGCAGCCACCATCCCACAGCACCTATCGGACGCCTATCGGCAAAAGTCCCTTATAAGGCCACGCTATCCCGTTTCCATGGCGACATTCAATGTCCGCACTCTAAGACAAACAGGTCAACAGGCTGCACTCGCACGCACCTTGGACATACTGGGTATTGATGTGTGTTGTGTGTCCGAAACTAGGATCAATGACCCTAACAGGCTTTTTGAATTAACTACATCCGGCTTATCCTCTCGTTATTGGTTGCACGCATCCGGAGACACCAATGCAGCACTCACGGGTCAAGCTGGTGTAGGTATCATTCTAAGCTCCAACGCTGAGCCATCGTTGGTTGATTGGATTCCGGTGAACAGCCGTTTATGTGCAGCCCGTTTGATGACATCAGCTAAGATTGATTCACGAAGTAGTACAAAACGCTGTTTGTTTGTGATTTCCGCTTATGCTCCCACCGACTGCAGTTCAAATGCTGTCAAGGACACATTCTATGACGAACTGAACGCGCTACTACACAGTGCTACTAGTTCAGATATTATAGTACTTGCAGGGGATATGAACGCACAAGTAGGGCGTCTGAGCTCTTCAGAAGCTCAGCTGGGTGGTAATTATGGACTTAACTCCGAACGGACTGACAACGGTGAGCGTCTGCTGCAACTGTGTGCACAGCACCAGTTGTTTCTTAGTAGCACTGCTTTTAGACACAGTGGGCGCCGAAGTGCCACTTGGCGTCCATCTGTAGCTGGCCAGCGATGGACCCAAATTGACCACATCGGCATAAGTTACAGGTGGCGTGGTTCCATCCTGGATTGCCACTCGTACTGGAATACCCGCGTCGACTCTGATCATGCCTTGGTGCGCTGTCGTTTCTCCATGAACTTTACCGGAAGGTGCACAAAGCGTCTCCTCCGATTGGCAACGGAGAAATTGTCCCAGCCATCGGTCACGCAAGCCTATCAAGACACACTGCATACCGAACTCTCGCTGTCTTGTATTAATGACACTGAACTTCAGTGAAATAGGATCTCGGCCGCCATGCACGACGCAGAATCATCTGTTTGTGGCACTATCAATCGTCATCGCACTAGTCACTGAATATCCGAGAGGTCCGTGAACCTGTTGGAAGCTAGAAGACACCTCCCGGCTGGTTCTGAACACAATGTGACCAGACGGGCTATTAGGCGTGAACTAAAGCAGAGCATACATGCTGACAAGGAAGCCTGGTGGACCAGTCGGGCTTAAGAAATGGAGGAGGCAGGAGCAGTAGGCAATTACCGCAAGCTCTTCCAGCTAATTCGCACCACTGCTCCCAGAAACCCAGGCGTCAGTGAAACAATCAGAGACAGCGCGGGTGCGCTGATACACAATAAGGAGCGCCGTATGGCTCGTTGGGCTGAACACTTTGAAGATCAGTTCAGCTGGCCCCCTGCTCCCGGACCTCTTCCTACTCAGGTGATGCAGAACGTGCCATGGACGGTTAGTTTAGAGCCTCCGTCGGAGGCCGAGGTCCGAAACGCGATCACAGCCCTCAATCGTTTTCGTGCCGCTGGCCCGGATTCCCTCCCACCTGCACTATTTAATGATGGAGGTGAGGTCCTCTGCAGGGCACTGACCTCCCTATTCGAACGTATCTGGAACGAAGAGAGTGTGCCGGCTAATTGGAGCGAATCGATTATAGTGGCAATATACAAGAAGAGCAGTCGCACAGACTGTGCGAACCACAGGGGTATTAGTCTAACGCCAGTTGTGACAAAATTACTGGCCTCGATTATCGTTCGTCGCCTCACTGCAGAACGGGAATCTCGGATTAGGGAAGAGTAGGCCGGTTTCCGCCCAGGACGTGGCTGTATAGACCATATATTCACTTTGCGGCAGGTGCTAGAGCAGCACCACGCATACCGCGGACTGACAATAGCTGTGTTCCTCGATTTCAAGAGTGCGTTCGATTCAGTCGATCGATCGATTCTGTTCGAATTACTTGCGCGGAAAGGTGTTCCCACGAAATATGTGAACATCCTTCGTGCTCTATACTCGAACACTACAGGCCGCGTCAGCGTCTATGGTGTCCTATCGGATAGCTTTTCGACTACAAGTGGCGTTCGTCAGGGTTGTCTGATTTTCCCATTTTTGTTCAATTTCGTCGTGGATTCTATCATGCAGTGTTCCCTTGCGGAATCTCACGATGTAGGCGTTGAAGTGCTGCCTGGTGAAAGGTTAGTTGATCTAGATTATGCGGACGATATCGTCTTGCTTTTCGACGATGTCGGGGCGGCCCAATCAACCCTGAATAGCCTGTCCAGAGTGGTCCCATTATTTGGTATGCACTTCACACCTTCAAAGTGCAAAGTGTTGCTGCAGGACCACCAGCCACTTGATGACCCCTTGACGCTTGCTAACGAGGAACTCGTGGTGGTTGATCATTTCACTTATCTTGGCAGCTGCATCAGCAATGATGGCGCATAGAAACTAATGTCAGCTCATGCATTGCAAAGGCCAGAGCTGCCTTCTTGAACCTGCGTCATCTTTGGCGACAGAAGAGAGTTTCCCTCCGTCTGAAAGGCCGTGTATACGAGGCCACAGTGAGGGCCGGTCTGGTCGATGGTAGTGAAACTTTGCCCCTTCGGTCTGAAGATCTGAGTCGCCTTCAAGTCTTTGAGCATCGTTGTTTGCGAAGCATTGCTGGTGTCGGATGGCACCAGCGTATCCGCAACGATGATGTGCGTAGGCGTGTACTAGGTAGTGATAATCATGCTAGCACCCTAGAACAACAGATAGCATCGAATAAGTTGCGTTGGCTCGGGCACGTGCTACACATGCCTGGTCACCGTTTACCTAGGAGGGCCTTGTTCAGTCTACCAGGCGTAGGATGGCGCAAGGCTCGAGGTGGACAGAAGTTGACTTGGCAGCGTGAAATGAAGTCACTGACAACCAAACTGGGTGCCGTTGGTCCGTCTCGCCTTCCGGGTTGGAGTCCACTTGACTCACCTTGTGCTTGGCTCGAGACTTTACAGGACATGGCTCGCAACCGACACCAGTGGCGCGTCTGATGCCGTCTCCTAATCGGATTGTCTGTTTAAAGTATGTTTGGTGCTGAGTTATCTGCGGGATAATGGCTGATTATGACGCGAGGTAATGAAAGCCGCGAGGAAGCTGTCTCGCCGATGCCGCCTTATCTTTGCACGATAGCCAGCTGCTTGTGACGGTATGTTGTCTACACAAGGTGTAAGCGCCTTGACCCTGAATGTTTGCTTAGGGCATTAAGGTTTTCAGGTAAGTTCCCCTTCTCTCCCTCTTCTTATTCTTTATTTAATACGTTCTCGTGATTGTATGGCAGCGAAGCATCAGTTCAAATGGCTGATGTACTGCTTTTGATGATGATGATGACTCCCAAAGTTTGCTAACAATTGTTTGGACAGAAATAAGAGAGGCACAGCTCACACATTCTTACATTTGATGAAGAAGTTCACAGCGGCTTCTTCGTGTTCAGCCATGATATCTTTGCAAAACCGTTCAACATCTTCAAGTTCATGATGGTACCACGCGGCACACTCTTCATGCCTTCGTCGAAGAATTTTCAGTATGTTCCTGTCCACTGCCCTGAAGCAACGTGAGGATAGAAGATAAATGCAAGTCCACCACATAAAACATATTGAAAGAAGGAGTAAGAAACCATAGTTAGCATGACTGTGCAGGAGAAAACAAGAGTGTATAGAAATTCATAAGCATAATGACCAGGATCCAACAAAAGTTCAAATCAGGCGAGGATGTTGAAATGGGTTCAACAATAGGCATCTGGTTCAGAAAGTAGAGGCAAAAAGTGATGCCAGACAACATATAAGCAAGTCAATTGATGTGATGCACTTAGCAAGGATTCGTGTGCGCTATAAGTTAGATATGTGTCTTTTGATGCGATTCCGATTGGAGTAATCTTGCTCCCTACAATCTCCAATCCACACCAAAAAACCGAAATCAACGCTTAGAAGCAAAAGCGCGTTGGATGAGCAGCTAAAGAAAAATGGTACAAGTGGTGAAAGATAAACAGATATTTGTAATGAAACCCAATAATGTTCGTACTCCAAAACAGCCAGGTTAGCTGCCCTGGTTGGCAGCTCATTTCCGCTAGCCAGTGGGTAGTTAGGTACGTTCGTCGCGTAATAGACTTGAATGTCTATGAGACGAGTGATACTTCGGCTGCACACCACTGACTCAAGTTGCCTTCCCACTGAAAATAAGTTTTCCCGGGTGTTATCACCTCTTGTGGACAGGTTTCTTTTTGAAATCGCCACTATGAAGCAGGAATATAGCAGTCTTGAAGACGGTGTTATCTTACTGGCTGTCTATCACCTGGACTGAAATGTCATTGGAGTTGGCTCTGGACTATCGGCTGCATCGGTTGACTACGACCCTTAATGTCGGCTTTTCTCGTTTCTGGGTGGCACAGTGTTGGGCGCAGCTGATTGGCATGGAGGACCCAAGTTTGCGGTCTAATGAGTACATCATAAATGATATGTCTACGTTTACATGTGTCCTTATTTAAAGTCTATGCCACGTGACCTATTTGATAGTCGCATGCGAGTACTGACTCACGGCTTGAATGAGCGTCACTTTGCTCCGTTCCACCGAAGGAATCCTCGCACCCTTTTCGACTTCTCTTGATGTATGAAAAAGCAGGAGAGCAAAACAGCATAGAATGGCGTGTGGAGCTTCCTGCTCATCATGGCTTCTGCTAGGTGCACTCTGTTTAGTGCCTACAGATTTGGCATAGGCCAATTGCAGATGTGGTTCATTGAGACATCAGAAAGTCCTAGCCTTTCGACCCAATCGAATCTAAGTAGGTTAGGCTTCGATTAGTCAGCCAGTAACATGTTCCAGTCTTTTCCATTCCGTTAAACGCGATTTTGCGGGTGATTTCTCCGACCGGATTCAGTACTCCACCAGAAGTAGTGCAAGTCAATTTGTCAGAAGCAACAATATTCGGTCCCTTGGAGTGGTTCCGTGTGTTCATGTAAATGATGGTTATATAAGAGGTCGCGTCAAATTGCAATCTGAAAAAACCAGTCGAAAAGTACGGGAGGAACCGTATTCGGTACGCAGTACCGACGTTTCGAAGCTAGGCAACCAGCACCAATAGCGCGTGGGCTAAGAATACTGCAATGGTCGACTGCTCCCCAAGGCAGGCTGAAAAACGCGACCTCCCGGTTGCGAGTAGAAGCCTTTATTTTTGGCCACTAATCGACCAGAATATTTTCCGCGTTCACCGGTCAAGACTGGTTTCAGAATTTTTGCTTACGGCTCCGTTTGCGTCGCAGTTGGCAGAGGGACTTTTTGAATAAATCAGGTAATATGCCATTGATGGCATAAGTAACAGGCAGTAGGAGGTCCGTTCTGTAAAGTGTGAATGGATTTGCGGAGTATTTGCGTCAAGCGAGATTATCCCTATTGTCTGGTCGATCTAACCGGAGATATTGCGCATCAGTACAACGCCAAGCTAGTCATTAATCGAAATGTGTACACTTGCTCCCTATTGGATGGATTACCCTGCGTCAATGTGTGTCAGTTTAATGTCAAGCTGACCATTGATTGAACTGTTTTAATATTATGCTAAGCGGTGTATTTGATGTGAACTAGAATACATCTTGTGTACTGCCGAAGCTCACGTGTTTTACTGTCTTGTGCTACGAGCCGAATACTGCCTTCTACTGGGAGTAGTTCGGAACTGGCCAGGCTGTAACATTAGCGACGAATTTCAAACTTTGAACCATCTGCTATGAGCCGACTTGCTTCATCCGAACGGTTTTGGAAGAATGCGTCCTGCAATCCATCTTTAGCACTTTGGGCTTGTTGGAAGAGAACCTTATGCGATTACCTTGAACTATTCTGACATCATTCTCACCGAAACTCAATATGTTAAGCCCCTAAAATATGGGCGTAGAAGAAATCAAAAGCATTTTGATGCACTGCGTTTGTACGAAAACCCATCTTTGTCGGACAGTCTCTCGATTGTCTTTATGGACCACAGAAACATGTTTTTACGACACGCCTACTTTCCCAGTTACGACAGAAATAGGAAGGTATTAATGGATTCACCATCTGTGTACAACAAACCTCTCCTGAATGGAATTCTCTCCCCACAAAGTTTGAATAGAATAGTAATCCGGCAGTGCCTGTTGCTTAGTATCCGGAACGTCTACTTTCTGAGGGCGAGAACAAATTTACTTAGGAGACAGCAAGCGCACTGATCAAATAACGGGAAAACGTAATGTAACAATTGGTGCGTTATCGGAACGAATCTCTTGTCGACGCAATTCATGTGATCAAATCGCGACCACCACCACCAACCGGCAAATGTCATTTTTCTTGGTATCGATAGGGCGAAACGGATGAAAACGCTATCGACTGTAGACACAAGTACGGAAAGGCTGAACATCTGGCACACTTATACCGCTCGACAGTTCTCAAAAGATCGATACCCCGCCCTATATGAAATGCTATCCACTGAAAACTGACGAGTCCATCTTGTATTTAATATCACACATTACTACATCCCATGTTATGGGGGCACCTCTATATACTGTAGATTTGGACATCGAAGGCCAGCTAGTCCGCTTGGAAATTGACAATGGGGGATCAGTCAGCTTGAACAACAAGCGAACGATGCCTGACCTAGTTCTGACACCGACACACTCTACGTGACACACTTACAATGGAGAAGCACTCGATGTATTGGGCATGTGATGTGAGGATAACTCACGGAAGCGATAGGTTAACTCTTCCACTGATCGTGATTAATACGGACGGCACAAACCCGTATGGGAGGTACTGGTTGAAACAAATGCCGGAAAGTCGGCCCGTAGCCTAGTAGTAACCAGCTGGTCTCATAATCTTGCGGAGCGGGTTTTGAATCCGCGTAGGGGTGGGCGTCTTCGCGGGATACAGCCCGCATGCGACTGGTGGTGGTCGCACGGCAGCGAAGCGCCGTTACGGCGTACAACTGACACAGTGTTATTATTATTACATACCGGAAATACTTCGAAATGTTAGAAAAGTGGACCGCATTCCATTTCTGCACACACTTTTAAAGGCTGTTGTTAGTGTTTTTGATGCGAAATTGCCTGGGACATTACCTGATATCAAGGCTCGTTTCAACATCAGGCCAGGTACTTAGCCGAATTTTCAAAGCACGAACATTATCTTTCATAATACATCCAAAGGTAGAGTTGGAGTTGGAGTGCCCTCAAAAGAACGGAATAATCCCGCCTATATGTCACTCATCCTGGGCTGCACCGATCGTCCCAGTACAAAAGCCAGATGACTCGATCCGCATTTGCGGTCACCACAAACTGACGGCTAGTAAGGAGACGATTACGGAACACTACTCCATTCCACGAATAAATTACCTCTATGCATCCTTGTCGGGTGGACAAAAGTTCTCCAAACTTGATCTCAACCACCCTTATTCTTCAGTGGAGCATTATGGATGTGTTACGGAAGTTGCGACTACCAATACACACATAGGATTGTTTCATTATAATACACACAATGCCGGCGATCTTTCAGAGGGTTGTAGACAATTTAGTAAAAGGCATACTTGAAGTGTGTGCTTACTTGGATATCTTGGTTACTTGCAATAAGGATTATGAATATCTGACAGTCTTGGGGCGTCTCCAAGTGAAAGAACTTGAACTCAGAATCCAAGTGTTTTTCACCGACATCCTAGATTACCTAGGGGTTTCATCTGGACAAACATGGGCTACATACGTCAGGGAAGAAAAGTCAAGCCATTCTGGATTCTAGAAGAGTAGTAGGGAGAGTTGAATGGTATAGGTAGAATTTCGTCACATCTAGGCTCACTCAGACAGCCGCCACATGCCCGGAAAAGCACTGTGCGTGCGTTTCATCCTTTCGGGAATCATCAGCAGTGCGCATTCCATCGGACCCCTGGTAGGGCTCGAACCCGCAAATCGACTGTTGCCAGTCCGTGGTTGAGACCACTGAGCTACGGGGGACGGCAATGACCGTCGTGAATAAGTAACTAGATGTGATATAGCGCCGCTCACTATCCATCTGGATTCACAGACACCGCATAATATCCAATAATTGCAATCATTTCTGGAGATGGTGATTCATTACATTCGCTTTTTGCCCTATTTAACTATTATTCTCGCGCCTTTGTGTATATTGCTTCCTAAGAATGCCCGATGGGTGTGGTTACCAAAACAACAAAAAGTTGATCTTGCTATTAAGTTGGTTATAAGTAACGCTAATTTGTTGGTATACTTTGACCCAAAGAGGCTGATGACTTTCCGGTGCGAATGTTCACCTACAGATCTGGGAGCAGTGCTTTCACAAAGTGGAAGAAATGATCGAAAGACCCATAGCTTTCGCTTCCAGAAGCTTAGCACCAACAGAGAGAAATTAAGCACAACTGGACTAGAAAACCTTGGCGGTGATCTTTGGGGCCAAGAAATTTCACCTCAACCAGTGGGGAAGAACGCTTGAAATCTTTACAGACCATAAGCCTCTATTCATTTTGAGCAGCGAAGAAAACGTTATCAACCAGATGGCGTCCCCTAGTATGCAACGTTAGGATTTACTGC